TTCAGATCATCAAACCAATTTTAATATTACACAAAGATAACCCGAATAAATACAAAATTCAGTTTTGAAATAATGATTTCATTTAAGGGAAAAATAGCCATTCAAACCTGCCTGACAATACATGAAAATGTAATTGACAATACCCATTGACTTCCACAGTATTTTTTTTTACGTACAATGAAAGTCAATGGTTACGATCAGCTTTCAACTTGAGGGTGAGTAAAGGATGACAATTTTCATTTTGGGGTGAACTATGACTTTCAGAATGATATCTTCTGTGGCTTATTAAAGGAAAGATATGCTATTACTCTTGTAAGCAAAAATACTTTCTCGGGGAGATGATAAAACAGGTGAAAAAAAAAAAATCCCACTGACATTGACAGAGAAATTAAGCCATATCTAGGGTTTTGAACATGAGAGATTTGAGAGTGGAATCTTGAGTGGCCAGTAAGCTAACACACATTTGTTTTTTCATCAGTCATTATAAAACATCTTGCAATAAGATAATTTAATGCCATAATATGCTGCAATAATCTAAACGATTTAATCCTTTGTCCTGTCCTGCTCTGTTGGTATATATCATATTGTCATGTCAGACTATATGATATTGTATTACTACTTCTGAAAGCGATCCATACATCACACAGAACTCTGCAGTCGATGAGAAGCAGACCCTACCCCTCTGCATACTGATCCAAAGCCAATCCCTTCTCACTCCACTTAATGAACTAACAGGGTCAATAAAATATAGAAAGACAGCCTTGAGAAGCGCCCTGCATAACAGACAGAGAATGTGACTTGCTTTCTACTCAGTGTGTGAGCTCTATGTAAATGTGCACATACACACGGTTGTTAATGACAGAGAATTTCTATAGCTATTAAGGAGTAAAATCCTGAATTTATAGACTCTGGTGCTTTAACAATTCCATTAACAAATATTTTATCACTTCTGAGAAAGCACCTTGCCTGCAATATTTGTCCTTACTAAATAAAATAATTATATTTTTGGTAATATATTATTATATTTCTATTGAACAAAATTACCACATTTATTACAACAAAACTCACATCTAAAATACACACTGTCATATGAAAACTAGCAATCCATTTTTACTGATTTAAGGGAAATTCAGTGAAGAAGCATTCAGACTGATGAGTGAGTGAGTGAGCGAGCGAGCGAATGAGTACTGACTTAAATCAATAACCAATTTATTTAAAAAAGAGCTAATAAAAGAATATGCTCATTATCAGATCAGCCACTTGCAATGTTATTTTAGTATCATTAAGATACTATGATAATTTTTATTAATATTTTAAATTAGTTTTTATTTTGTTATAATATTTTCCATTATCCCTTATTCCGTTTTCCATTATAATTTTGTGTGTTTTTGTCTGTATAGTGTTTTTTATTTTATTTCTGGTTTTGTTTTAGTTATTTTAATAAAAGGGGGTTTTTTGTTTGATTTTTTTTTTTACAAAAATAACCCTGTTTATTGGCTAGGAAAATTTGCCATGCTCTATCTTTACCGTTCGATGGAAGAATGAAGACCCGTTATGTGAAACGTTATGTGTATGACATGGGTACTACAACATAAACTCTTCCTGTGTCAATGTACACCAAATGGCTTAAAAAAACATACTAAACTGTGTTTTTGTAATTAAAAAATTGCCAGTACTTTTCTGTAAGGGGTAGGTTTAGGTTAGGGTTAGTGTAAGGGGATAGAAATGGAATGTCCACGTAAACCACACATGCAAGAATGTATGGAAGCCCGTTTACGCCACTGAATAAAAAATTTTAAAAAGCATATTGCGACTTTTTATCTCACAATTCTGACTTTTTTTCACAGAATTGCGTGATATAACTCACAATTGCGCGTGATAAAGTCAGAATCGTGAGATAAAAACTAGCAATTCTGACTTTTTAACACGCAATTGCGAGTTATAAAGTCAGAATTGCATGATACAAACTCGCAATTGCGAGTTAAAGTCCAATTTTGAGGGGGGGGAAAGACTGAAGAGATAAAAACTCGCAATTCTGACTTTTTTTCTTGTAATTCTGAGTTTATATCACACAATTCTGAGAAAACAAAGTCAGAATTGCGAGTTTGTATCACGCAATTCTGAGAAAAAAAAGTCACAATTGTGAGATAAAAAGTCGCAATTATCTTTTTTATTTTTTATTCAGTGGCGGAAACGGGCTTCCATAAGAATGTGTGCATGTGTTCCTGGTATTCTCTAAATTATGGGGAACAAATGTCCCCATAAATTTAAACCTTGTGGGGACATTTTTGGTCCCCATGAGGAAACAAGATTTAGGGGTAGGCTAAGAGGATAGGAAATACAGTTTGTACAATATAAAAAAAACATTACGCCATTAAGATTCCATTTCTTTAATACAACAAATATTTCCCCCATTGATACCTTTAAAATTAAATAAAGTAAATGTAAATGAATGCAAGTCAATTTAGTGTCAAGTCCAACATGATTAATAAAAGATAAAGTGTATAATTCTGAATCATCTGTGGCACCAGACATACAAATTTTATAGGTATTTCCAAACAGGTTTACAACCGTCCCTTAGGTAGCCCCCAAACACAAGCCACTAATTCAGCTAAAAGTTGACACATAAGACCCAAGGGTTCTAGGTTTTTGGCTGGTTAACACTGTCCAGTTAGAGAAACCTGGTAGATGCCATAACTTCACTATTATGGTTCCAAAAAGCAGTTTTCTCCATTGATGGCAATTCAAAAGCCTTTTTTTCCTTCAATAAAATTAATGAATAAAAAAATTATTAAAGGGGTCATATGATGCAATTAAAATTTTTCCTTTCTCTTTGGAGTGTTACAAGCTCTTGGTGCATAAAGAAGGTCTGTAAAGGTGCAAAGACTAAAGTCTCAAATCCAAAGAAATATTCTTTATAAAATTAAGAGTCAACCACGCCTGCCTAAAACGGCTCGTTCTAACACGCCACCACATATCTACGTCATGGGAAGATTTGCATAACGCCGCCCAAATGTTCACGCAAAGAAAGAAGACGTAACTTTTATTCTCGCTGTAGTATTGTTGTTGCCGCTGCCACGGCCGCCATGTTGTGAAGGCGCTGTGTGTTTCATTGTGAAAGCGAAATTTTGAACCTTAAACGGCATAAACACATTTCATTACACCAAATACACAAACTAATGTTCTTTTTAGCAACATCAAATTACCCCTTTAAGTTGGGACAGACATGACTGTATGTTTCTCCTGATCTTATTTATTTATGTATTTGTTTGTTTATTTGTCTAATAGCTTAAAATTATTTTTTTTTTCTTTCTTTTTTTTTTAGATAATTATAAGGTCAAGTAAACAAGACCGTTTTGTTAGGTATAATGGGTTTATTCATTACATAATTTCCATACTTCAATTTCTGATGATTGAATCTCATGATTTCACTTTTATTCTGCTCTACAAAGGCAAAAAAATAACACTGAACCTGAGTAAAAAAGATATGAAATAATTAGTGCTGGGCAATGATTAATCGACAATTAATCGCATTCAAAATAAAAGTTGTTGTGTACATAATATATGTGTGTGTACTGTGTATATTTATTATGTATATATAAAAGACACATACATACAGTATATATTTAGAAAATATTTACATGTATATATTTCTATTCATATAATTTATATTATATATATATAAATATATTTAATATATAAACATATTTTTCTTAAATATATACATGAATGTGTGTGTATTTATATATACATAATAAATATACACAGTACACACACATATATTATGTACACAAAAACTTTTATTTTGGATGCAATTAATCGCAATTAATTGGTGCCCAGCACTAGAAATCATATATATATAATTTTGTATATTGTATAGATAGATAGATTACACAACTGTTCTAATGTAACATCCTCTACTCTACCATCCAAGCAATGAAAGGTTGATGAGTGCCATGACCCTCACAGGAAATGAATGAACACGTCAGAGATACAGACATACAGTGTAGCCACACACTCACCCACAAACAAAGTTGATTTGGAGCAACGAGCTGACCTGCCGTGACCTGAGCTGACAGCAGCTGTTCCAGTGTAGCCAGCATACCAGTACTCCAGCTGAACCAGCCCTAAACAAATCAATTCACACCAACCAGCAGGAGCAGCCAAACTCAATCCAATCAATCTGAATTAGAACTTCAAATACAGCCCATTCGAGGCGACAACACTACTGTTTGCTTTTGATTTGACATGCATATCTTCTCTGACTTGAGTCCACTTGGATTAAGTTTACTTGATTTAATGTTGCAGAACGAAACAACAAAGCCACACACAAACCTGAAAGACTCCAGCCATTTGCTTTTGAGGTTTGTAAAGACTTTTCTATTCCCACAACACTCCTGGTTTTGAGTTTTATTTAAAATTCTGTCATGGTACGCTGATGCCGTGCGTGAATCAGTATGGCCTAATTACAACTCCAGTGATTACTGCGAAGTTTAATTAGCCGAAAACAAGACATGGCACAATGAATTCCTCCCCAGATCCCCACCAGGTTCACACAGAATTTCAGGAGTTCTATTTTCTCTTCCCCAAAAAACACAAGTCTCTAGTGTGTTTGTGCGTGAGTGTGTGTTTCTCTCCATGCTTTGGGTCAGTTATTTTGAGTGGGTCTCCTGAGGCTAGAAGCGAAGCTTATCCTTTACTGAACCTCCTGTTTAATTCTGACGTTAACCCACATGGACTGGAGCTCCACAGTAGTGGGGATGTGGATTCTTCTCTTACACAAACTGACAAAGTCTAATACACTATGTTTCCTGCATTATCCAAACCACTAGGATGGCGGTTAAGGAAACAAGGACTACAGCCAAGTTTAGCACCCTTTACCACTCATACACTCACATGCAGAATGAAAACAACTCACTGACTCCACCTTATGGACCATTTGGGCCATTGCAAAAGGAGGTTATAGGTTATCATGGTGTAAGGACAGAAGAATATGTTACCTCTATTGCCACCACAATGAGGATCAGCTGAGTGTCTGATTCAGGGAAATATGCTTTCACTTGTGGGGATAAACCAATCAAGGCACAGTTGGTCACCACGGCGATAATGCTCATCGTCTCGAATGCCAACTGGAAGAATAAAAAGACCAAATGTTAGTTTTGTTTTTGTAAGTGTGTGTGTGTGTGTGAGAAAATAAATAAATAAATACATACATAAAGTTTAATAAAGCAATAAGCCCCAAGAAGCCGTGGTTTACAGTGCCTAAAACCCCCTAAGCTGTTATAAATTCACTGTAAACCACGGCCTTACATCTTTTATAAAATGGTTATTCCATATACGTAGTAAGGTTTCGCAAAATAAAACAGAGCAAATAAAGTGTAATGATATTAATAAAAACATTATTCTTCCGCCAAACAATGCAGTTCCTCAGAAACGGCTGTGGTTGCAACAAAGTGGTTGCCGAGCAACACACAAAAGTAAACAAAGGTGTATGTTTGTAGAGTAATTTACAACAGCTTCGAACGCAGGTCAACCAATCAGAATCAAGGACCGGAACTATCCGTTTTATAATAAATAAATAAAAATGGCAAAGGCACATAACAAAAATACTAAAACTCTAAATAAAAATGAAAACTACAAATCTAAAAAAATAAAAGCTAATTCAAAATATTATCAAATACTATAATAGTACATAATAATACTAAAATAACATTGGTGTGTAAACATAGAGTACCATTTAAATGGGACAGACAGATGTTTCTTATAAAGACATTTAGTCTAAATGACTTTAAATGCTTAACATTATTTTTCACACATGCAAGTGGATATCAGATATATAAGAGAGACTGGTGTGATTTGATGTTTTTGATCATTTAATGTCTGCTTCCACTAATCTTCCTTATGACTAGTTCTGACTCAGAGGTATTCTGAGTAATAGGATGAAGCATATCACGTTAAATAAATAAATAAATTATGGAATTTTACATTTGATACTTCAGTACATTAAAAACAAGTACCTTTGTACCATTTACTCAAGAAAAACTTTAAAGTAGTACTTATATTTTTATTGGAGCATTTGTACTTTAACTCAAGTACATGATTTGTGTACTTTGTACACTACTGTGTGATATCAATTTCACATGAATATGAGTATAACTGTGCCAAATCCCTCGTTCATGGGCCTTTGCACGCAAGTTCACCCAACAGTGAAAATTCTGTCATCACACAATGCTATCGTATGGCTTCAGATAAGCATGTACACTACTGTTCAAAAATATTTGTATTCTTTTTTTACATTATTATTATTCATTGTTACAAAAAACATAAATCAGTGCTGTTCTATTAAAACAATCAGCACAAATGTTTTCAACATTGATATTAATAGTAAATGTTACTTGAGCACCAAATAAAAGCATATTAGAATGATTTCTGATGGTCAATGTTGTATGAAAAAGAGCTGCTGCTAAGACTTCTCTCAATTTCTCATTTTGTTTTCCACAAACAAAACAACAGCATATGGAATAGAAGGGCATGAGGTCATAAATAAGAATGAATAATGACAATTTCTATTTTTGTAAGAACCTTTAAACAATCAATATTAAAGAAAAAAGGCCACATTTTAGATTGCTAATATTATAATAGCACCTTTCGTCTGGATTTGTTTTTAACACAAACATCCATGACAAGTTGCATAATTATGATGATTCAAATAATCATTTGTACTGTTATTGAAGTTTATCAGATTAAACTCTGTTTTTATAGCTCTTTACATTTCTTCTGTCTCTTAAGCTTTCTCTAAAGTACAGTAAATTATCAGCTCTTCTGGATGTGAGACTTCTCACCTGCCACACCCCGATGTTCGTGGCTGGTTCTGAGAAGGGACGCTTGAAAACATGGCACATCTTGAAGGCGTCAGAATAAACCTCAGTGATGTTGTTCAGCACCACCAGCACAGCAGCCAGAGGATACACACAGGAGAACAGACTCACATAGCCAAACAACAGGAACTGCTCGAGGTAATCGTCGAATGTGCCCTGATCGGAGAATTTTAGATCAGAGAAGTTACTACAGAGAAATTTAAAGGTCAGAAAGGGACATAAATGGTGATGTAAAACCTAAATTATGATGTTTTGGCGCAAGAAACTCAGACTAGCATTTTAGGTGGACTTTAGGGGAAAGTGCTTGTTCACGAAATTATATATTTTTGAAAATTATGCTTATTAATTAAACTGATAGCAGTTACTGGGACCTACCAGATAAGTGTTCATTTCGGTCTCCAGCTTAACTTGTCCCAGCAGGGGGAGCTCTTTATCACCCATCAGTCTCCTCATCCTCTTATGGACTTTCTTGTTCCTCCTCCTCTGCAGCCAGTATGGCAGGAAGGCCTCCATCACTTGATTCAGGATTTGAGAGGTGATGAGCAGAGTGGCCAAACTCTGATGATCCACACACAGAGACAATTTACCTCCATTTCAAACCATAAGGCATCTTGTAATTAAGTCATTCAACTACACTTGATATATTGCTTGTCAAAGCAGCTGAGCTTTGTCCGAAATACTGACCTGTCTCAAAAGCACCATATCTTGCATGACAAAGGCAATATAGAAGAGAGAGGCAAAGCAGTTTACGAAGTTAAACTGGAAACAAACAAAACATCCAATAATTAAAACTTTTACATTTTTAAAATAAAAAATTTTCGCTTCAGAAATGTGCATTATTTTAATCAAGCCAGGGTTCCCACACCTTTAGACCAATGCATTTCCACTACTATTCCAGTCATTTATGGTTACTAATGATTTTTAAATATAATCATATAGGCACTGAAATCACAATTTTAAAATTACCCTAAAGTACAGGCACAAATATATTTAAAGAAGTAAAAAGAATTTTAAAAATAGTAAAACGCTACATGCAAGTCAATTCAATGCTCAATATTACAAGACTGAAAATATGAAGTATATAAACAGAAGAAAAAATTTTTAAAGCATACCACCAAAACTTTGAGCACAAGGTGATTCTGAAATGATGACTCCAGTCTGTGGTTTTCTGCAAAAACGAAATACAAGGAATGTGATTTACCTCCATGTTGGAAGGTAACAGAAACTACTTTTTAGTGTGAGGCATTAATAGCATTTCCATGAAATTATGGCAAAATCACAAATAAATATGATTTAGACCAATGTTTCTCGACCAGGGAGCCTCAGCAAACCCAAGGAGGAAGCAAAATGACTTAAAGGGATAGTTCACCTTCAGTTGCTGGTCCCCATTGACTTCCATATGTTCCATACTATGGAAGTCAATTGGGACCAGCAACTGAAGGTTAACTATCCCTTTAAGTATTTAAATCAATAATAAATTATTATTAATATATTAAAATAATCTAACTCCATTCTAACTTAATATGTTAAAATTAAAATCAATAAAAATATAAACTGAAATCATATTTATTTTTATTCTCCCTCAATAACTATTGCTTTTACGGACAACATATGGTTCTGGAATACAAAACATTACTGAATAGTGGTTAATTAACCATGTTAATTCAACAAATGAATAAAGGAGGAAGCAAAATGAGTGTGTATATATGTGTATGTATGTGTGTATGTATGTATATATGTATATGTGTGTATGTATATATATATATATATA